TTAATCTGGTTCTTAAAGTCCTGAAGTATTGTTTTGATGAAGTTGGGTGCACCAGAGTTTGGTGAATATATGTTCATGATTGTAATATCTTCTTGGTTTATTGTTCTTTGATCAGAATGAAGTGGTCCTCTTTATCTCTTCTGATTATTTTTAGTTTAAAATCTATTTTTGCCAGATAGTAGAATTGCTACGCCTGCTTTTTTCTTAGTACCAATTGCTTGGTATATTTCTTTCCATCATTTCACTTTAAAATAGTGTCTGTCCTTGAAAGTGAGATGAGTTTCTTGCAGACAACAAAAAGATGGGTTTTGTTTCTTAATTCACTCAACTAGTCTATGTCTTTTGACTGGGGGGTTCAGTCCGTTAATATTTAAAGTTATTAATGAAAGATGAGTATTGAATCCTGTCACTTTTATTTGTTTACAGTCGTTATATAGTTGTACTTTCCCACAGTTATACCTTCACTGAATTTCTGCATCCCCTTGGGTGTAGTCATTCCTTTTTTCAGCTCTTTATATTGATTCCAGAACTCTCTGAAGGGCTGGTTTTGTGGACATGAATTCCTTCAGCCTATTTATGTCATAGAAGGTTTTTCTTTCCCCTTTGACTATAATGGGCATTTTGGCTGGGTATAGTAATCTGGGTTGGCATCTGTGGTCAGTTAAAACTGGGAATGCTTTGGTCCAGGCCCTTCTGGCTTTCATAGTTTGTACTGAAAAGTCAGCTCAAAGTCAGCTATATATCTGATGGGTTTTCCTTTATATGTGACTTGTTTTTCTTTTGCAGCTTTTAGTATTCTCTCTTTGTTCTGTACGTTTAGTGTTTTTACTATGATGTGCCGTGGAGAGTTTCTTTTCTGGTCCTGTCTCTTTGGTGTTCTATATGCTTCTTGTATTTGTATGCGCATGACTTCCTTTAATTTTGGGAAATTTTCTTCCACGATTCTGTTGAAGATCTGGTACATGCCATTATCTTGGGATTCTTCTCCTTACTGTATGCCTATGATTCAGAAGTTTGGTCTTTTTATGGTGTCACACAATTCCTGCATATTCCATTCTTGTGATTTCTTAAATTTTTCATA